CCCCCTTAAAGATTATCCGCATGCGCCCCTATGTTGTGCCGTGGCCATGCCATGTCATGCCATGCCATGCCTTGACCATGCCGTGCCGCCATGCAATCTGCGCCCTGTAAACGCCCGTCTCGCCTTATTCTGGTTGCTTCAGAATCGAATGGGATGGATGACTTACATTGTGGCAGATGCTTACTCGACCAGACCTGGCCAGCGCAGTAGGCCCAGCCTGGCCAGCATGCCAGCAAGTCAACAAGCCAGCAAACCAGCCAAACCTGGCCGCCTCATCAGGAGGCACATGTCGCCCGTCTGACATGGCCTCGGACATCTGGTTGATGTCCATGTCATTTGTTTGCCATGCATCACCCAGCATCAATATCTCGCAAACGACGAGAAGACACACCCGTGGAGTAGCTGTCAAGTAGTGTGCCGGTACAGCCTCGTCCCGCGTGCAACTGGTTTCTTGATCCTTGGTTCTTGTTCTGCTTGTCTGTTTGCGTGTGCATCCTGTAACTATACCCCCTTCCTCTGCCGTCAGGCTGCACCGTTTGTCTAGTGCTATGTACCTAGAATTCCGGCCCCCAAAATACCGGGCTGTTGCAAAGCCCTCTCGCTCGCTGTGGCCCCTTGACATGTGTCTTCTGTCGTCTATCCCCCTCCATCGTGCTTCGCCAAGTCAACGAATGAAACAAATAGGTATCCTGACCGGCATATGACCGGCTTTCCGCTGTAAACAATCTGGTATCTGGATAGCGCACGGATTACAATGAAATCTCAACCACACATACACACACGCAACAGCCTTCTTTCTTCGCCAGGCAAGAAAAAACAACAAAAGAAAGCATGGGTGCCGTGGTGCTTTGGCGAGCATCGCCTGTTTCGACCGTTAGATCCAACGCAGAGGTCCTCCATGCCGGACGACGCTGTCTGCCCGTAGTCGTAAAAGTCGACCAAGATCCTCCGTACCCGCCCCTCCCCCATTCCACGCCCAAAGTTGACGAACACGACTTCCATTTCCGGACGAAAACGCTGACAGAAACGAGGAGAAATCAGTGTCGGTCGCCCGACGATGCCAGTCTTGTAGTTCAAATGATTGCAAAGGAAGTTGCTGCGCATGATATTCAACCTTTTCCATGCACATGATTGCTGTCGATAGTATAATTTCTGTTGTTTTTCCTTCACCGTCCAGGGTGCGGCGGGAAGCCTTGAGAGCCGGGTGGCCCAGGCGGGCCTGAAGATTGGCTTGCCCAGCCTGTTTCATGTTGGACCCTGGCATGGCTTGCATGCGCCATGCCAGGCGGCGATGTCCTCGGTACATTCGCAGACGTGGGCCCCATGTGGCCTTCAACGGCACGCAGGGGTGGAAGCCTCTCGCCAGGCCTCATCGAGGGAGAGTTGGCCATGCCGCTGTACATTGGTGTGTTGATCGGAGGCAGACTGGTCGGCGTCGAGTTCGGCGTTCCGTATGATGGAGTCGTGAACGTCGGCGTCGCGCTTGTCCTTCGCCTACGAGCCGGCCTCTCCCCCGATGAGTCGCCCGAACCGTAGCCCTGGAGTGCCTGCGCCGCTGAGCCTGTCTGGTTGGAGAGGTTTGCTTCCGAGCCATATGCAGACTCTGCAGCAATGACTGGGCTATTCGGCCCCGCGGCATGCTCAGCTAGAGGCGTCTGAAGTAGCAGGTTGCGCAGACGATCCCTTTCAGCGCGGAACCACTCCCTTTCTTGCACCAGAACTTGCATCTGACTTTTAAGATCCACGTTCTCCGATTCCAGAGCCCCAATCTGGTCCTTCTTGCGCTTCCTGAAGCGGGCGGACGCCCCAGCGTTGCGCTGTCTCTTCTCGTCAGCCTGACGGGAAGCTTGGCGGTTGTCAAGGACAACATCGACGGATCCTCCATCACCCCCGAGTGACATTCTGAGCATCGCTTGCCCGTCAGACCCACCCGCGGCAGCACTCGAGCGGATGCTGTTGTAAAGCGGTGTACCTTGTCCAGGTCCTGGCCAGACCGGGCTTCCGGGTGGGATGGATGTCGAGTACGTTCGAGGAGGCAAGCCGAAGGGATGGCTCGGTTGAGTTTGTGGCTCATGGGTTCGTTCGTGGGCCTCCTGTGGCAGCGTAGAAAAAGGATGCCGACTTTGGCTGCTGGGCTGTGGCAAATGCCCAAGACTGGGCTGGGATAAGGAGCGCGGCGGTGTCAAGGACGCAGTCTGAGGCTTGCTCAGAGAAGGGTGCGGTCCCGTGAATGGAAGGCCTGGAATCGAACCAGTGTGGTGAGCGCCGCTGTCTCTGTCCCCTCGAAACTGCCTTCGCGTGGTGGCTTCAGCGTGCTGAAAGGGCACTTGGTGATCTCCGGGTTGCGTCTGATGGATCCCAGCGGCGCCCATCCCTCCAAGACCCGATGGCTGTGGGCTCAGCAAGTGCCGAGGTCTGTTCATCGCTGGAAAGGGAAACGCATTCGCTGGCGAGTGTCGCTCCGTGGGTGTGTTGCCGCTAGGAGTCAAGCCCGCCTGGCTGGCTGGGGTGCCGGGCTCCTGTGTGGCATGGCTCTGGCCTGAGAAGACATAAGGCAACGGTGTTGTAGCAGGCGTTCCTTGTTGACTGTAGTTGGCGATGCGAGGGGACCCAGAAGGCCCGAGAAGCCGTCGGGTTGTTGATGATGTTTCGGAAGAGTTGATCAACCCACTTATGCCCAGAGATCGCGCGGACTGAGGCCTAGACCGATCCTCCGGAGTTGGTCCGGGGCCAGGAGAATAGTCGGAGGAAGTATGATCATGGCCATTGTCTCGGATTGCAGCGACTCGCTCATGACTGGCAGCCTGGCTCTGCGGTGATAGCGAGAGACGGGATGGCTGAAACGAAGGCCGCCCCCCCTGCGACATTGAGGCCTGTTCTCCGACACTCTCCTGGTGTTGATGTCCTGACCATTGACTGCTATGGGAAGAATCTGGAGGCGACAGCTGCGACGTGGACGGCTGCTGGTAATGGAGATGCTGTGTCCCCTCAGACTTGCTGGACCCTGTAGACCTACAGTCGTCGGGCTGTTCACTGTCCCGTGCCTCGCGAACCCGCTGAGGCTGTCCCGAGGAGCGGACAACCGTAGAGTATGTGACAGCCAGTTTGTCGTATGGATGGAGGGACTGACCGGGCCGAAACCAACAGTCCCTACTACTGTGCTTTTGTTGAATGATGGACGAAGAAGTGGACTTCGCTGTTGAACCAGAATGGACCGTGATCCAATGTACAAATATTGGTTTGCTCAAAATGATAAAATGATACAGGCCGAGAAATGGTTAGAGATGAACACCAGACAAGAATTCAGGCTGTCTGTTGTAATGCGAGCAGCACCCTGTCTTGAATATAGACTCAGCAGGATGGTTGCCTGACAAGTAGTAAGAGGGAACAAGATGGGGGACACCCAAAGGCAAGGATTGTACCAGGGTTGACTGTGACTGGTGGTCACCCGCTTGTGCTGGCAATGTATCTCGAGGTAGTTGCGGTGACGGACGAGTGGGATCTCTGCACGTCAATGGACCTGCAACGCTTGGTGGGCGAGCTACGCGTCTTGAATGGCCGGGACAAGTCCCCTCGAAGCGCTAGGTGACGGGTCGCCAACGGCGGTCAGTCGTGGCAAGGTTCGTCCGCCTCGCGACGTCCTGCAGCTGATACAGAGGGTTTGGTCGGGCCGTGGCGGGCAATAGCGTGTGGTCCGTTGGCCTGAAAAACCAAAAAGCCCTTGGGTGATGGGGTCGTCGACCGTCAGAATTGGTGGTGGACTGGCTGATGACGAGGTTGGCGCAAGGCAGAAGTTCGCTGCGAAGTCACGCAACGCCAGTCTGCACGCGAGGAGGAAGCTGATGAGAAGAGAATAATAGAGAGAAACAGACAGAACTCGACTGAACGGGGTGCTCGGTCACAGGATACTCTTGTTCACCGGTGTCAGTCGGGCCCCCTCCCCTTCACGACCACAGCAGGGTCCCAAGCGAAAAGTAGTCACGTCCGGGGGGTTAGCTTTTCTTCCTCATTTGCCTTAGCACAGTGTTGCTATTCCCAGTCCCACGCCTCGATGGCCCCCCTGTTCAGGCTACCGGGGAAGCAAAAGTCTCTAGGCGCACCAGGGGATGACCCGGATGTTGTGGACGGACGTGCAAGTGACGGGGATGCAGAACGACCAGTCGGGTCAGAGTGGACGAGGAGCAGTCGTGTTGACCGGGGTGCATGAGAAGACCAGCAGGGGATGGTGGGTCGCTTCAGCGAACCGTAGGTACTGACGCCAGAAATCCCACCTCCAGGCAGGATTTGTGACGAGCCCAGGGTCCCATCCGGGACTTTCTGCGGCCGCCTATCTGGTTTGTGACGGAAGAATCCAGGGTGCGGAACGAGGTAGGTGTTACTGGTCCATGGGGCTGTAGCAGGTATGTGATGCAGTTTGCTTTCTTTCTAAGAGAGTCGTTTTGGCTGGGTGGCTGGCCCGTTTGGGATGTGAATCATCGAGGAAGGTTACGATATGCCGAGCCAGGGCTGCCAGGGTCAAGGGGAGGACATCTGCAACGCCTGGTCACTTGCGGCCTCCACGTTTTGACTGATCATGACGAGCAGAGACCGAGCAGGGCAAAGCTCAGGCTGGGAAGTCTGATGCATGCGAGCCTTACACTGTCTGTACGTATGCCACACCTGCCACCAGGGAGGGTTGCTTATTGGTGCCCTCTGGCGTGTGCCATGGCCCAAGCCGAGGCGTACAGAAACTGAGCCAGAGGCAGCTTCGTCAGGGCTTCTTTTCGTGATTTGCTGGCAGAATCACCGACGGCAAGCGTGACCACATGTTTGCTTGGGTGGCTCCGAAGGAAATGATGACCATGTCAGACACGGCAAGAACAAGGTTAGTCGACCGATGAGTGGAGGAGAGGTGAATTTGCGGTGTCGGTGGCAGTCTCGGCACCAGGATCCAAGCCTCAGCCAACAAACCCCCAACCTTCCCACGGCTGCGATGGAGAGTGAGAAATGGCTGTGACCGTGGACTCTTACGGTAGAGGTTTTTCCTTGGTAGGTAGGTAGGTAGGTAGGTAGGTACGACACAACAGGGTATGCTGTGTGTGCCTAGTGTCCTGTGAAAAGCATGATATTGTCGGGTGGATCAGGGGGTGGCCAGTTCCTCCTGCTGGTGAGAGTAGTTCGTCAGGCCCAGGCCCCGTTCCGTCGCCAGGTTCCAGGAACGGGTAAAAGGTTGGTGGAGGGGGATGGCTGTGCGTGGGTCAATGTTGGGGCGCACCCCGATGTACCCACACGGCGCAATGCTGCTCTCGCTGTACCGAGTAAAGTATCGATGTGCTGGTGGTTTGGGAGGCAAGCTAGTCGCTACCATCTTGAGCCAGATCAGCGTCTGTTGCAAGCCCTATCCTGTCCGCCTCGCCCTTGGTTCGTTCGGATTTGGAGTGCGCAGCTCGGGCGTCCGCATTGTTCAACATGCAGCGGCTGCGACCGAGCCGCCCAACCGTCATAACGCTTCAAAGGTACTGGCTTGCAGCAATGTCAAGCTGGGATCCCTGACGATCGCTGTTGGGGGACAGGACATGAGCCCCCAGGCCCGGGGCTACGTAGCTTCGTAGCAGATAGACGTCATTAATAGCCAAAACATAGCAAGAAAAAAAAAAGTTGGGACGAAAAAGCTGCGAGACCAAACAGCACAGCCCCGGCCCTGGCCACTGGGGGAACTCACCCCGTTACCCGCCGCCTGCCAGCTTTACCAACCGTAGACGAACACGCAGTTCGCAGATAGTGGTCGAGACAACCCCCATCCTCGAGCCTTTTCGCCAGTGCCTGGCGAAACCAGTGGACATGGGGCTCCAGACCGCTGGGGCGTGGGCTGGGAGATGGAAAGTGAGATATGACGGGCGGGTGGTAGGGGTATGCAGTGTGAGGTGTGGTGCCGTGCGTGTGGAGTGTGCATGCGCTTCTGGCAAAGGTGACGAACAGGAAACGAGCAAGGAAAGTGGTGTGGGTGGAGGACAATATCAGTAGACGAGCCGAGCAACGCAACGCCATCTGTATGTGACGAAGAATGAATTTGCAATGAGTCGTCGTCGACTGAGGATGGAAACAAGATACGAGCGAAGTGGCATGGGAGAGGCGAGGCAAAGCAAAACAGTTAATTTTCATTGGGTTCAGCACTAACTGGATGCACCTTCTTTCTGGACCTTCACCCACACCTCCTTCTCATCGCGTCAGGTAGGTAGGTCCATGACTAGGCAGGTATTGTAGCCAAGGCACCTTCATGATGAAAGGCATATGCCGTGTACATGGTAATCCCTCGCTCCTTCCTGTTGTTTCATGCAACACAACTATCGTTGGAAGGCACTTCCCGTGACTCCGGAAAGTACCTTTTTGGTGCATCGTCACTTCCAGTCTTCGCAGCCTTGCTTGATGCAATTATCTTTCCCGTCTACTCCAGTTCCTGGTGTTTGGACACCAGCTAGGTAAGGTAGCTAGGTTAACACCCAAGGACGCCCTCGTCCCAAGCATCCGACTCTTGTCCCCAACAGTACCGTTCATCAATATTGGCGTTGATCCTCTCGCCGCCATCACCCATCCCTCATCGGATCGTCACTCATCACCGCCACGTTGACCGACACAACGGAACCCGCTTGGTGTCTTCCGGAAGTTGGGCACCAAGGGACCCATGGCCTGACCCTGTCATCGACAAGCACAGAACCCGCGTGCTCAAGTCCGCCCGCGCGCCGCCCACCCATACCCGCCCGCACGCAGCAAACACTATGTGCAAGCCATCCCTGCTCCGTGCATGAGGAGCATTAGGTTTGGCCTGTCCTCAACGCTGCAGCGCACTCGTTAGCAGCTCAGTGCTGGGGGGCGGCGGTTCGCTGGCGCACCGCGGAAGCCTTCCCCTGTGCCTGTCCCCTGCTCAGTGCCC